AGTTCTCTGACAGTTCCTTCACATTTACAGCGGTTGAAACATTGTATCTATTTGTTTCCGAATAAAAACATCTGTATCCTAAATGGAAACAAATAGATACAATGTTTCAACCGCTGTAAATGTGAAGGAACTGTCAGAGAACTGTCAGAAATAGCGGAGCTCCCTGCAGTGACACTTTTTGCCGGCTGATCGGGGAAAATTCGATTCGTGCATCCGAAGTTTGCTAAAATTCGGATTCGGTGCGAATCGAATTTTTCCTAATATTCGAAACGAATTCCACTTCGCCAAGTTCGATTCGCTCATCTCTAGTCATTACCCGCCAGTTCCTGGCGATTGCCAGCAAACAGTGACACAGAGCACAGCTGCATTGTTTACAAAGCAGCTCTGCTCCCTGTCAGTTCCGAGCACACTGATCCAGAGAGCGGAATTTATTTCTCGGGATCAGCATGTTCCTGTGAAGCACACCCCCCGCCCCCTAGTAAAACACTCCCCTCATAGAGTTAAACCTTTCATTGCCTAAAAAAAAGTTAACCCCTTCCTCCCCAAAGCCATTAGTACAGTGCCAGTGTTTTTTTTTTTTTGCACTGATCACTGTGTTGGTGTCACTGGGGATGTCAGTGACCCCAAGTCAGTTCCCGCCAGTGTCAAAATGTCCACTGCAGTCCCGCAGTCCTGCAGTCCCGCCATAAGTCACTGATCACTGTCAAAAATCGCTGATCGCCGCCATTATTAGTATAAAAAAAAAATCCCAGTATCTTTCCCGCCATTTGTAGACACTATAACTTTCACGTAAACCAATTAATTTACATGTATTGGGATTTTTTTTTAGCAAAGACGTCGCAGAATACATTTTGGCAGAAATTTATGATGAAATTTGATTTTTTAATTTTTTTACTGGACATGTTTTATAGCAAAAAGTCCAAAATATTGTTTTTTTTCTCAAAATTGTCAGCCTTTTTTTTTTTATAGCGCAAAAAATAAAAAAACGCACAGGCGATCAAATACCACCAAAAGAAAGCTCAATTTATGGGCAAAAAAGGATGTAAATTTAATTTGGGATGCAGTGTTGCATGACCGCGCATTTGTCAGTTAAAGTAACGGATCGACGTAACACAAACCGCTTATGTAACTGCTTCCTGACCTCCCTATAGCAGAAATACTGCTACAGGGTGGCATGGGTGCGCAAAAGCACATATATATATACATGATTTGCGTGGTTTACACTCCCCTCCCAGATAGCATCAGATTGCCCCTCAGTACTCCAGTTATCACATTTAACCCCTTGATTGCCAGGAGCACGCTCATGCACAATAAACCTCCATTGCTAGTATAGTGTCTGAACGGATCAATATCTTTGCTCAGATCAGCACTATACCAGCGTTCACATTAGTATAGCGCCCCCAAAAACACAGCGTTAGCGGGATCAGCCCCGGCACCTGCCAGCACCTGTGTTTAGCCCCTACGGTTACCTCTCCTTTCTCCTCCAGCAAGTGCAGTGTCAGTAGGTCACTGTCACTTGATACATTGCACACAAAACCGCAGTGTTCGCAGAATCAGGCTTGATCTCTGTTAGCACTTGACAGTAAATTTTGATGACTCTCATATGCAGCAGAGTGCCAGTACTAGTGCCGCTCTACCTTTTGGTGAACTGGCGAGTACCAGCGGTCTAGTACATCTTGGTCTTTCACATACCTCCTTGATTTTTGGAACTGTTTTTCACGGAATATCTGTATGCGTTGATTGTGGATCAAAGCAATTTATCTGCACAAAAATTTATAACCCAAATTCAAACCTTGACAGACCAGTCGCATGGAAACTCATTACGGTTTCTGAATTTACATTTTTTTTGGGCCTAACCCTCAACATGGGCATTACTAAAAGAAATTAATTGCGGTTGTATTGGTCCGCAGACCCGATTCATCATATGCCCGTGTTCTCTGCTGCCATGACCAGGCATAGATATGAGAGTATAATGTGTTTTATGCATTTCAATGACAATACAATCTGTCATCCTCGGGGTGACCCTGAATTTGATTGGCTCCACAAAATTCAGCCCCTGGCAAATCAACTTAACCAAAAATTTGCAGATGTCTATACTCCCCAGCAAAAAGCTGCGCTGATGAGTCCCTCATTAATTTTTCTGGCCACCTTGCATTCAAAACAATTTCTCCCCAGCAAGCGTGCCAGATATGGGGTCAAGATGTAGAAGACCTGTGAGAGGACAACAGGCTATACTTATTTTTTTATACTTATAAATTTCGGATGCCCAGACTACATGGGGAGCAGTGGCAAGATAGTTTGGGACTTGGTGTCATCCTTTTTCCATATGGGGTACCACTTATACGTGGACAATTTTTATGTGTGCCCACCATTAGAAGTGGGTGGGATGCAGGGTGGTATATTCTAATGGTGGGCATACCATACACTTTTTATTGCAGAGATTTCTTCTCTTTTTTTCATTCAGTCCACAGGCTGCATACAAAAAAAAAAAGAACATAGCATATGCACCCAACAAGGACCAGCGATGTACTGGTACATCACTGGACTTTCAATGGTTATACCGGGATGATGCCTACAGCTGCAGGCATCATCCTGGTATTGTTTTTTTCAGCCAACGATAAACTTTTATGTAAAAGCAATCCTAGTGACTGATTAGCTGCAGGATTGCTTTTACAAGCAGTGGGATATGATGCCCCCCCTCCCCCGCTGCCTTCCATGGCCTTCTTGGGCAGTCCCGTGCCATCAGGGGAACCTGAGAATGCAGCCGGTGTTCCTGCCAGCTGACCATAGAGCTGATTGGAGACCAGAGTGCTGCCAATCATCTCTATAGTCTAAGAAATCAGAAGCTACGAGCATTTCATCACTTCAGTTTCGCAGGATAAAAACAGCGCCATTTGTAAATTGGGAAAGCATCTGATCACACCGATTTTGGTTTGATTAGATAATGTAAGGGCAGAGGAGATATTTAGAGCTTGATAGACCCCAGATTTCTCAAAAAAGAATATATGACAATGCCCATTGACTTTATAGGGGATATTTGCATTAACTGTGATAACATTAAAAGTAATAAAAAAAAAATGAAAGGTACAGTGTAAAAATAATAAAAAAAATCAAAATAACATAAAAAAAAAAAACTTGCCCCTCCCATGCACGCACACCTGTGTGCACAAGCGTTGACCCTGTGCTGGTATGTAAACAGCGGGGTGGCACTATACATGTGAGGTATCGCCGTGAACGTCAGATCAAGGGCAGTAATTCTAACACTAGACCTCCTCTGTAAATCTAAAATGGTAGCTTTTAAAGTGTTGCTTATGGATATTAAAAATGTATGCAGTTTGTCGCCATTGCATGTGCAGGGGCATGTGCAGTTTTAAAGCATGTCATGTTTGGTATCTATTTACTCGGCATACCATCATCTTTTATATCTTACCAAATAATTGGCCAATATATTGTGTTTTGTGCATTAAAAGTAAAAAAAAGTGTATTTTTTTTAACAATTGCCTTTGAAAAATCGCTGCGCAAGTACTATGTGCCATACAAAAATTGTAATACCCACCATTTTATTCACTAGGGTGTCTGCTTTAAAAAAATATATAATGTTTGGGGTTTCGAATTAATTTCCTAGCAAAAAATACAGCTTTTTTTCATGTGAACAAAAAGTGTCAGAAAAGGCTTAATCTTTAGTTGGTTAGAAGAGTTAGTGATGTGTGGCATAAACTTCTAATGCTGGGCATAAAACGCCCCCACCCCCCAAAAGACCCCTTTTTGGAAAGTAAACACCCCAAACTATTTGCTGAGAGGCATGTTGAATCAATAGAAGAATTTATTTTTTACCACAAGTTTTTGGAAAATGACAATTTTTTTTTTTTTTACACAAAATTGACACTTAAAGGATTTTTACTGCTCACAAATGCCATGGGTATATGTGGAATTACTCCCCAAAATACATTCTGCTACTTCTCCTGAGTATGGGGATACCACATGTGAGACACATTTTGGCAGTCTAGCCAAGCACAAGACCCCAAAATCCAATAAGCACCTTCAGGCTTTAAAAGGACTTTATTTCCTCATTACACTTCCAGACTACCTATCACAGTTTCAGAAGCTCTGAAATGCCAGGATAGCACCTAACCCCCCTCCAAATGACCGCTTTATGGAAAGTAGACACCCCAGAAATTTGATAGGATTTGATAGGATGCATGGTAAGTATTTTGCAGATCTCATTTGTTGACACAAGTTTTTGGAAAATGAAGAAAAAAAACAAAAACATATTTTTTCTATTTTTTTTTATATTTCAAAACCTTGTGAGAAAAAATGATATCTGCAAAATACTCACCATATGCGCCTCTTTGTAAATTCCTTGGGGTGTCTACTTTCCAAAAAGGGGTCATTTGGGGGGGGGAGTTTGGTGCTATCCTGGCATGTCAGGGCCTTCGAAACTGTGATAGGTATTGAGGAAGTGAAATGAAGAAATGCACCTTCAGGCTTTCAAAGTGGTCATTGGATTTCAGGCTCCTGTATGTGGCTAGGCTCCCAAAAAGTCTCACACATGTGGTATCCCCATACTCAGTAGAAGTAGCAGAATGTATTTTGGGGTGTAATTCCACATATACCCATGGCTTGTGTGAGAAATAAATCATTTAAATGACAACTTTGTGCAAAAAAAAAAGTTTTTGTAATTTTCCAGAAACTTAAAAAAAATAAAACTTACATGGACTCAATATGCATCTCAGCAGATAGCTTAGGGCAGTGATGGCGAACCTATGGCACGCGTGCCAGAGCTGGCACGCAGAGCCATCTCAGTGGGCACGCCAGGAGGAAGAGAGGAAGAGGAAGAGAACGCGCTCTCCTGCGCACCTCCGGGGGGAGCGCACCGGGCGATCTCCGTGATCGCTGTGTCCTGCGGACACAGCTGATCACGTGACATGGTAAAAGGCCAATTCACAGCGGCCTTTTACCATGTGATCAGCCGTGTCCAATGACACGCTGATCACTGGGAAATGCAAATGCCGGTTCTCGGCTGCACTTTCCTCACGCTGTTCAGATCGTGAGGAAAGTACTGCCGAAAACCGGCAGTTGTCAGAACAGGGATCGGCACCGATCATCAGGGTCACTGATCATCAGTGCCCTGATGATCGGTGCCCACCTGTGCCACACACAAGTTCCGCCCACTTGTGCCCATTAATGCGCCCACCTGTGCCCAGCAGTGCACCCACCTGTGCCCAACAGTGCGCCCACCTGTGCCCAGCAATGCACCCACCTGTGCCCAACAGTGCGCCCACCTGTGCCCAGCAATGCACCCACCAGTGCCCACCTGTGCCGCCCACCTGTGCCCACCAGTGCCACCCACCAGTGCCCATCAGTGCAGCCCAGCAGTGCTGCCAGTCAGTGCCACCAGTCAGTGCCCAGCGGTTGTGCCAGTCAGTGCCCAGCAGTGATGTCAGTCAGTGCCACCTATCAGTGCTGTCTATCAGTACCCATTATCAGTGTCGCCTATCAGTGCCACCTATCTGTGACACCTCATTAGTGCTGCCCATCAGTGCCACCCATCAATGATGCCCAGCAGTGCCGCCGGTCAGTGCCGTCTGTCAGTGCCTCCAGTTGGTGCTGTCAGTGCCGCTTATCAGTGCCCATCATTTCCTGCATATCAGTGCATCATCAGAGCCTCCTCATCAATGCTCACCAGTGCCGCCTCATCAGTGCTACCTATCTGTGCCGCCTCATCAATGCCCATCAGTGCTGCCTATCAGTGCAGCCTCACCAACGCACATCAAAGAAGAAATATTACCTGTTTGCAAAATTTTAGAATAGAAGCAAAGGAAACCTTTTATGTTTTTAATTTTTTGCTCTTTTTTCATTTATAGTGCAAAAAATAAAACACCCAGTGGTGATTAAATACCACCAAAAAAAGCTCTATTTTTGTGAAAAAATGATAAAAATTGCATATGGTTACAGTGTTGCATGACCGCACAATTGTCTTTGTTAAGTGCAACAGCACTGAAAGCTGAAAATTGTCCTGGGCAGGAAGGGGGTAGAAGTGCCCGATAGGCAAGTGATTAATTCCAGTGTTGGCACTTTGAAATAAAAAAGTTGGTTTTGTGTTGCAGTTTGGGCACTCGGGCTCAAAAAGGTTCGCCATCACTGGCTTAGGGTGTCTACTTTCCAAAAAGGGGTAATTTGAGGGTGTTTTTACTATCCTGGTATTTTAGCACCTCAAGAAATGTGATGAGCAGTCAGAAAGTAAAAGCTGTGTAAATTCCATTATCTACAGTATACCATAGTTTGTAGACGCTATAACTTTCACAAAAAGCAATAAATATACACTTACTGGGATTTTTTGACCAAAAACTTGTAGCAGAGTACATTTTGGCCTAAATTTATGAAAATTTTTTAGTTTTTTTGGATATTTTTTATGACCAAAATAAGAAAATATTTAAAAAAAAATAAAAAAATTTTTTCTTCAAAAATTTTTTTGTTTATAGCACCAAAAATAAAAAGTGCACAGGTGATCAAATACCAGCAAAAGAAAGATCTATTTGTGTGTAAAAAGGACATAAATTTCATTTATGTACCGTATTGTATGACCGCACAATTGTTCGTTAAACTAGCGCAGTGATAGCAAAAAAAGGCATAAATTACAGTATCTATACCATAGTTTGTAGAAGCTATAACTTTCACACAAAGCAATCAATATACACTTATTGGGATTTTTTTACCAAAAACATGTAGCAGAATACATTTTGGCCTAAATTTATAACTAACTTTGAGTTTACTATATATTTTTTTATAGCTGAAAGTAAAAAATATTGTTTTTCTTAACAATTTTCGGTCTTTTTTTGCTTATAGCGTGAAAAATAAAAAGTGCACAGGAGATCAAATACCAATGAAAGAAATCTCTATTTGTGTGAAAAAAGGACGTAAATTTCGTTTGGGTACAGCATTGCATGGCCGTGCAATTATCAGTTGAATTAGTGCAGCGCCAAGTAGCAAAAAGAGGCCTGGTCATTAAGGGGGTAAATCCTCAGGAGTGCAAGTGGTTAAACCACTAATGGTTTTTTTACAACCGGCAAAATCAGAAGTGCCAAAATGCTTGTCGTTTCCAGTTTGCTACACCATATAGATGATTGGGGCTGTTCCTGTCCCTGATCAGCTCTATCGTCAGCTGATAGAATTGCTGGTTGTACTCTTGGATTCCCCATTGCAATGAGAGAGCCCAGGAAGAATGTGGAAGGGGGTGGGAGGAGGGGGACAACCCTTCTTGCTGATTGTAAAAGCAATCCAGTGACTAATTAGCACCTAGGATTGCTTTTACAAGAAAAACAACCACTGGCTGAAAAAAATAATACCGGGATGATGTTTACAGCTGCAGGCATGATCCCAGTATAATCACTGAAAGCCCAGCGATGGGTAAGTCGCTGGTCTGCAAGTGGTTATCTTACCAGTATGGGAATCTATAGGACATAATTAAAAAGTGTCAGATTACCAGTTTGTTTAAGATTATTTTATTGCATTAGAAACTATGCAAAGGTCTTAGCTAGATGTTTTTCTTTTTTTTTTCATTGTCTTCTATCTTTTTCACTGCTTTAATTAATAAGTCAATACAGCAAAACTCTTGATTTACTTTGGCTTTACCGCTATTTGAATGAATAAAATACTGCTAGGGTTTATCATGTTGGAAATATCCATATCAAAATTGCATATAAAATCACAGATTATCTATTTTTGTTATGATAAAAATAGAAAGTTATATTAAAATGGATTATAAGATTAATAAACTCCCAAACTAGATATTATTAAAACTCTAAGCCTTGGGGGAAGTAATTTTAGTATGTCACAAGTACATTTTATTACTTGAATAAAATTACTTAGGGAAAAAAAAATAGAATTATTAAACCAAAGAAATATGAAACAAACATATGGCATTGCTTATTGCCCATACAGTACAATATTATTTTAATGGTATTTAAATATTACATAATGCATTGTAATCCAGGTTCCCACAATAATATAGAGGATCGTTGCAAATCCTATATATATGAAAACTGGTTTAGTGATTTCAAGCAGAAGCAAGGCATAACCTTTTTGGTTATATAGTATTCAAACAACCTGGAGTCCTTAAAGGGTGCATAGCTTCAAAGATATTTTGTTAAGTATTCTCGTGCATAATAAGTAATGTGTTAGTGTATTTAATACTTCTGACAATACCATCATCTTCTTTTAAAAATTATTACCTTCTTTGATCCAGCATCTTCCAGAGTCTGCATTTACTTCCTGGTCTAAGATGCCTGCACAGTAATATTTTGGCTAGATTTGATCTATTTTGCTGCATTGATATAAGTTAGAAGGCATGCTAGCTTGTTTTATTTCAAAGGGCATGCAAAGCTGGGCATGGTCAGTGAGAATATGTACTAATGCAAAAAAAAAAAAAAAACAACAACTTTGAAATACCATTCAGTGGGAAATATTTTTTTTAATATGGCTTATAGTAAAACATTACTAATGCATGATTCCATTACATAACATGCTAGGGGATGCCTTAAAGGATACGTTCACCTTTCATAACATGTTAAATCTATATTCAGTAACATGTTATGAAACCACTGGACCCCGCTCCCTACCGATCCCCCACTTTGACAGCTAGCAGGGAATCCCCCACTAGCTGTCAAATTTCTTAAAAAATTTGGCTGTACGAGGCTCTGTCCACCCGGCCTCATCACTCATTCACTGTGTTCTGTGAATGCAAAACTACAAGTCCTGACAGCCTTTACTTAAAAAAAATTTGCATTTTTTTTTTTACCAAAAGGTGAACTTATCCTGTAAATCTGCAGGTGAAAGGGAACATCTGTAGGATCAGGGGCATAGATAACGGGAGGGTCTGAGCCCCCCCCCCCCCAGGAGGACAGTTGCCATCCATCCTTGCAACCCTCACAATTTCTACTTGCCCATGACTGGAAATAAGGTGGGGGCGGTGAGCAGTGCTGGGACTAGGCGTGTGTAGGAGGGAGGAAGATGGGACAGTGGCAAGCAGTGATCTCCTGTATGGCTTTCAATGAAGCAGCTGGGAGCCGCAGGAGGGAGAGGAGAAGATCGGCTTCCAGCTGCTTCACTGAAAGCCATACAGCAGATAGCTGCTTGTCACTGCCCCCACCTCTGCACAGAACATACCTGATCGTTCCATTTTCTTTCTGCCTGCCCCCCCACTGCCGCTGTGTTCTTCTCAGTGCCCAGCCCATCCCTCCATCCTCCACACCAAAAGGAGAAGAGGGGAGAGAGGCTGGATCTGCTCTGCCTCCCCTTGTGACCCCACACCTTCCTTCCTTCCTTCCTTCCTTCTTTCCTTCCTTCCTTCCTTCCTGACAGGGAACATTTACACTGATAATCATGGCACTGATGATTAGTGCCCTGATTATCAGTGCAGCCCCATCAGTGCCCGTCAGTATTGCCCATCAGTGCTGCCTATCAGTGCCACATCATTTGTGCCCATAAGTGATGCCTCATCTGTGTTCATCAGTGCGACCTATCAGTGCAACCTATCAGTGCCCATCAGTGCAGCCTCATCACTGCACATAAGTGAAGAAGAAAATTACTTATTTTCTAAATTTTATAACAGAAACTAAAACATTTTTTTTTCAAAATGTTTGTTCTTTTTTTGTTTGTTTAGCAAAAAATGAAAACCCAGGAGTGATTACATACCACTAAAAGAAAGCTCTATCTGACTGGGTCAGTCCTTGCAGGCTAACATTTCTCCTGGTTATTGAAGAGATCCATAAGAAGCCCTTCAAAAAGTTGTATCATTCAACTACAGTGTCCGTTTTATCCAGAGACTGAGGTTCAACCTGAGCCATTTAGCAGCACAGTTCTTTGGGTTCCTTGGAACCTGAGTTTACCACCAGTCTTGGAGCAGGTGCAATAGGTTATACAGCTACACACAGGCAGGTTTAGCCTTTTCAAAGCACCAGGCATAGACACAGATGGCCCTAATGGTAAGATTCTCTCTTAACCTTGACAATCTTTCAGGGCCTATATACTCTACAACAGGAATTGTGGAAATCTGTGCATTTTCACAATGTATGGTAATGCATGTAAATTGCACAAAAACCCGATGTGCAGAATTATTTAAATATCTGTTGCCCTATTATTCTGTTTAGAAAATTGCCCTCTGTGTTTCAGTGGCAGCCCACAGGGTTAATTGCACCTTCAAATTAAATTTAGTTACCCTGCCTACCCCTCCCCCATCAGCTTACACACCAAAGTATTATAGCCATAGTTTGCTACAGTGTTTACATCCTGCTGCCAAAATCTTTCTTACTGCTGGTTGGCTTTAACAGTGAGACTGTGATACTTTGGTAAATAAGCA